AGCGGGTCTCCTCGGGCTTAGCCGGCCGCGGGGAGCCCGTGACCCCAGGCGCCCGGCCGGCGGTCAGCGAGCCACGGCACGGTTTACGCCCGGTTCCTGAAACCCGCTAAAGCCGACCCTCGTTTTTTTTTAACGTGTGAATCCAGGCAGAGTTCAGCTGCGGTGATTAATCGTGGTCTAGTGGGGGGAAAAACTGAACTGGCGGGGTCTCCGCCAGCATAACCCAGACTTCATTTGAGTTTGGGATCACAGTTCAGCCTCCGTTCGCGGGCCTGTATTGCGCCTCTTTCCCTGCCGTGCTGCGATGCTTGTGGTTTGTCCGGGGTTGCCAGTCCGGGCTTCCAGAAGCCCCGCAGGGAGAGGGCGCCCCCCAGCCGGGCTGAAAATGCCCGACTGGGGAGGGCAGAAGGGCGGCCCGTCGGGCAAGCGGGCAAGCTTTCCAGAGCAGAGGTCTCGGAAGCAGACCTAGCCTCGCTGCGCCACGGTGAATGATGGCTTGGCCCCAGCCTGGCCCCCCCAAGGCCAACGCCGCGATCCTCCGCGACCAAACCGCCGCAGCGCGGAGCCCCTTCTGATTTCAAGCAGTTGGGGGGTTGCATCTTTTTTTTTTTAAGCCCCCACAGAAGCAGAGCAGGAAAACCTCTCCTTGAAAAGCTTTCCTAGGCTTTTGGGTGGGATCCAGCTAGTGATAAATCGGTGCTGTGAGAACAGAAGGATGGCAGGAAAGTTTGGCCACCCGCAAGCTGAGTTGGTGCCTCGGCGAGGAGGAGGAGGTTTGAAAGCAGCACCGTGGTGATGGACAGGGTAGGGATGCGTTCAGAAGGTCCAGCACGAGGCTCCATCTCCAGCCGTGAATTGTCTCCCCCCCCAAAAAAAAACCCCTGTTTTTTCTCTTTTCCTGTTTACTTCTGAGAATTTTAGCCAGGAGCAATAGGCTCTCCCCAAGACAGGATGCTTTGGAAACCCAACCGTTTCTCCTTGGTCGATTTGCCTCTTTTCCCCCCCGAGCGATTTTGGATTGTCAGCAGGAAGGCTCTGAAGCCTTGTAAACCGTGGAAATGGGAAGGCTTCGGGCAGATTAATTTCTTCCAGGGGAGCCAGAATGAGGATGGGAGAGACATACAAATGCACCGCTGAGGAGGCATGGAGGTGGCGGCGTGAATGCAGAGCGGGACCTTGGCAGAAAAGGAGGTCAGATTCATTCTTGGAGGAATCCGGCTAGCTTTGGCGGGATACCATTCTCTTTTTGTCTCTAATGCCAACGCGGAAGTTTTCACAGAGCCGCTTCAGGGATTGAACTGAAAGCAGGATAGGCCGGCCCCGGGTGGCGTGGGTTGGGTTCAGGCATTTCAGGTGTGATACGTTTATGTGCGAACCCAGCCCATTCTGGGTTTGGTCAGCAAACTGCACTTAAACCATGGCAGGGCACCATCTGTGAACAAAGCCACCCACACACATACAGAGGGACAGCCTTGGCAATTGCTTTGCAGAGTGGCCAGGTGGAAGAAGCCCAGAGTAAGAATAGAAAGGGCATGGCGGGTCAGGATGAACTGCCTGGAGATTTGGATGGCACCTCCCTGTGCTTCACTTAGCCCCCAAGTCATCAGACTTTGGCCTGACATTTGAGCATCAGAAAGAGCTTCAGTGTCCCCTGTTCAAGGCAGCGGCCAAAATGCTGAACAAATCCGCCACCTTATGTAACATGAAGATGTTAAGCTACTGAATCCCATGTCCCCATCAAACTAAATCCCGTGTCTTAATGAGGTGAGGAGAAAAGACAAGCCACCATGCTTCAGCTCCTCATTCACTGTCTTGTGCAACATGGAACAGCCCCTTCTCGGGGCCCGATGGTGGCTACTCTTGATAAGTCCAATGTCCTGCAGACGATGGGCAGGAGGTGATCGGTGGGAGGGGAGATCTGGGCATTGCAGGGTCTTCAGTGGGTTGGCAATGTGCTCAACGGCGTTGCTAGGACCAGGAAATCCACCCCATGGGGCCTCCCCCAAAAGCAGAAGGCGCGTGAGCTATCATCACGGATGGGAATGCACCAAATTGCCTGCCCGGGTTCTAGACCTGTCCACACCATCCCTATGATCTTGGGAGGACCAGTGACCATCAGCTGTGCTACGTTCGCATGGTGGAACACGTGTTTCCTTTGGACATCAAACTCTGTGTGTTGAGTAAGCCAGGTTCAGCAGGATATCTGAATTTAGTCTAGGACTCAGCTGATGGTAAAGCCATCTTTCCACAGATCTACGTATTCTCTCAATATGCCTCAGGAGAATCTCAGAAGCTACCGGTGACCACAAAAGAAGGTGGCCCTTTCATAGCTGGCCAGCTCCTGAGAAGCAATACTTCTTAAAGAAGAGGTTTTGTCTGGTAATTTCTCACCTGCCAGCTTTTCTGTTTTGGAAAAAAAATACTCTTCTTTTTCAGAAAACATTGCTGGCAGAAAGATGCCTGTTTCACATTTGATGGGCCTTGCTCTCTGAATGACGCCACTTCAGTTCAATTACTCCAGCCTAAAAAAAAAAAACTCTGAAAACAGTGATACTTTTCTCAACAACTGGCCACTAACTGATGGCTTGACTAGCCTACAGCTATCAAAGTTTTTGAGGCCTCTTGAAGAACAACATTCCCAGAGCAAAATGTTTTCTGGCGGGGTGTCCTGCTTTTCTCTTTGACTTCTACCCGGCTCTCTTCGACGTCAAAGGGATTTGTGTGCTTGCTGAAATTGTCCTGACCTCCAGAACCCTTCTTCTATTTTAGATTGTTTGGCTTCTTGACTTCTGCAGATATTCTCAGATTTGTTTGCTCCGTTTTACCTAAACTGACAGGGCTGTAGAGGCAGATGTAAGGCAGGGGAAGTGCTCTCGACGGACAGCCTTCGTTCCAGGGAGCTTCAGGAGGTGGGAAGCCACACCACTTTTTGCACCCGGGATGGAGATAAAAGGATAAAGGGTAACTCTGCCCTAAATTTTTGCACCAGGCAAACCTTTAAGAAGTTGGTCATCCTTTTTGGAACTTTGCACAGCAATAAATTAACCTGGCAGAATTTTGACAGGGAGGGGCTGCAGTGAGAAGAATCAAGGCACCCAAACCAAGAAT